ACTTTGAGTTCAAAAAGAAAGGAGGTAACAATTATGCATACAATGTAACTAGTGAAGTTGATGATGGTATGAAGTCAAGTGCCAGCACTAGCTCTAGTGATGTAAGAGATGGACACATGAGAGGTGATGGAGAGTTCAAAACTCAGAATCAACTGAACTCGTGTGCATTGACTAGAGAACAATATACTCAAATCTTGCAGCTTTTTGACAAAAGTCAGAAGTTCCACATTGTGTAAATGCAACAGGTATGCATTGTATTTTAGTAGCTTCTAATAATAGTTCAGGTTGGATCATAGACAGAGGAGCCACCAATCATGTGGTGGCTGACTTGAGTCTCTTAAATGGGCATTCCATATATAAGGTTGCAACTCAAAAAAAGGTACACCTTCCTAATGGTGATAAATCTGTGGTGACTCATTTAGGGTCAAGTGCATTAGATGGAAACAACACACTTTTTGAAGTGTTATACATCCTTCTGTTTAAGTTTAATCTCTTGTCTTTTCCAAAGTCAACAAAAGAGTTGAATTGTTCAACTTCATTTTCCCTTGATTTTTGCCTGTTTCAGGAACTCTTTAGTGGGAAGGTGAAGATGATTGGTAAAGAGGATAGAGGATTGTACCTTCTATCTAGCACTATAGATAAAGAAGAAGTTGTATTAGCAACTAGACATACTGATCATACAGATAGAACTACTGAAAAACTAGATACTCAGTTGCTACATCAAAGACTTGGTCATGTTTCTAGTTCTATTCTTCAGAAGTTGTTAAATCATACTTAGCTGATATTACAAAGACTGTAAGAAAATGTGTTGTATGTCCTTGTGCTAAACAAGTTAGATTGCATTTTCCTGTTGGTACATCTAGTAGCTTAAACAACTTTGATTTGTTACACATGGATCTATGGGGACCTTATAAAAAGCCTACTTTTGATGGATTTAGATACTTCTTAACTATTGTGGATGATCACACTAAAATGACTTGAGTTTTGTTTTTAAGAATGGAGTCTTATGTATGTACCATATTGAAGTCCTTCTTGGCCTATATAAGAACTCAGTTTGATAAACAAGTAAAAGTCATTAAAAGCGATAATGGAACTGAGTTTGTGAATACAAACTGTCGTGACTTGTTCAAAGGCTTAGGCATAATACATCAAACTTCTTGTGCTTATACACCCCAACAAAATGAGGTTGCTAAAAAAAGTACAGGCATATTCTAGAGATTACAAGAGCTATAAGGTTCCAAGCTAATGTTCCATTAAAGTTCTGGGGATTGTGTGTTAAAACTGTAGTATATATAATCAATAAGCTACCTAGTAGTGTGACTGCAAACTTGTCTCCTTTTGAGAAGCTTTATAATAAAAAACCTTCCTTACATCATTTAAGAGTATTTCGATGCTTATGTTTTGCTAAGAAGGTACATGAGATTGACAAGTTAAAGTCTAGGTCTACTGCTTGTGTACTTTTGGGATATGCTGAAACTCAAAAAGGTTATGTTTTATATGATCTAACTAACAAGGTTTTCTTTGTTAACAGAGATGTAGTGTTTCAAGAAGAGGTTTTTCCATTCAAACTGAAATCAACTGAGTCAGTTCCTATATTTACTTATAATGCCATAAACCTTGAAAGTGGTAGTGTGGAAGACAGTTCAGGCAATAACCTTACATCACACTTGCATCAAACTACACCTGTGGATATGATATCTCAAGAACAAGAGGAGAACTTAGAGGTGGAGGTACATGAAGAAGTTCAGACAGAACAATTACCTCAATTTGTGATTAGAAAGTCAGGAAGAGGGACTACGACACCTTTGTGGATGAAAGTTTTTGTATCTCTAAACATTCATGAAGGTTTATACAGTTTTGACAAGTATGTGTCATACAATAATATTACTCCCACTTATCAAACATATTTGTCAAAAATGTCAAATGTTACAGAACCACAATCATACAAAGAAGCATCAGCTGATCCTAGGTGGACTGAAGCAATGAATGCTGAGATTAAAGCATTACAAGAGAATCACACTTGGGGAAATAGTTGAGTTACCAGATGGTAAGACACCTATAGGATGCAGATGGATATTCAAGGTAAAATATAAGGCTAATGGAGATGTGGAAAGTTCAAATCAAGGCTGGTGGCAAACGGGTATAGCCAAAAAGACCAAAAAGAAGGTATAGATTACCAAGAAACATTTAGTCCTGTTGTTATGATAAATACATTCAGGACTGTCTTGGCTGTTGCTGCACAAAGACATTGGCAAATACATCAAATGGATGTATTTAATGCATTTCTTCAAGGTGATTTACCTGATGAAATATAACATTCCGAAAAACTAGTAGATGAAACTAGAGCCTAACATAAGGGTTAGAGTCGTAACTCAATATATGTGTTTTTGGGTTTAAACATCAAGGTATGACTCCCCAAGGACCAACCAAGGGTCCTTGAGGAGGACCCTAAAATAAGGCCCCAAAATAGTCCACCCACGAGAGGGGACCTACGGGCAGTAGGTGGACCCACACCTCGTGGGTGGGGTCGTGGGTCAGGCCTCAGAAAATGGGTTGCAGACCCGAACCCACGGTTCACCACCATGCCATGTGGGTCCATCCATGAACCCTGGGTGGGTTGCCGTGGGTGGTCACTGAAACTGCCATTTGGCAGTTAAACTTAGGGGTCTTTTGGGGTCTTCCGTTTTAATTAATTATTAAGTGATGTCGTTTTGGACTATTTTTAAACACCTATATAAGTATTTTATAAACCTAAACTGACTCATCTAAATCATAATTTCTAAATTCCCAAATCAAAACAAAAATCCTCTCCAAATATTCTCTCTAGAACTCCAAGGAAGAAGAAGAAGAAGAAAGGTGAAGCTAGGGTTGAAGGATCCATATTTTCTACTCAATTTCGTGGGAATTATTCACCAAGGTATGGTAGTCCTTCATCCAGGGATAATATTCATCCATGGAGTCCCTCCAAACTAAATTTCAAAACTTCTAATTTCCCCAAAAGCTAGGAATTTACTCCAAGTAATGGATTCACTTCAAAAATGATTCTAATGATTTAATTGGTTTATATTATGATCAAATTGATGATTTATTACTGTTTTTATGAAGATTTCCCCAAGAATCCATGAATTCCCCTATCTTCCCAAATTGGACCTAAAAGTGGGGTTATTCATCGATGCAAGTAGAATATGATATAATTATGCATGTAGTAATAGAACTACTTTAATTATGTTAACATACATGTCTAATGTAGTAATCCTAGATGTGTTGATGGAATGTGATCTATGTTCCTTGAAGGGAAAAGTATATGAATTATGCATGATTATAAGGATTATGTACATGCTTTATGAACACTTTGAGAGTAAAGTGAATATGATTATGATCTAGTTGTTGTGTTGTTGGAAGTTATCCTCATGTGCACACTTATATATGAATATGATATGATGTGATAGGTTTGTCACATGTAGTGATTCTAAGGCTGGAAGACTAGTCTCACCTATCTAATCTATGAGCTATAGAATGAACTATGTTGGATTGAGTGTCAAGACATTCTTCCATAAATATGAACTTAATTCAAGACTTAATAGATAATATATGGGAATTAATGCTTAGCATCGAGTGGATATGAATATGAGATGGAAACTTATACGATAGTTGAGTCCGGCTTCCCAATGAAAGTTTTTACACTAGTTGAGTCAGGCTTTCCAAATGGATTCCTTCTACCATAGTTGAGGCCGGGATCCCAAAGTATGTATCTCATGAGATTGAAACCTTCTATTTTAGTTGAGTCCGGATTTATAGAAGCAATCTCCTTATTCCATAAAGTATGTACCCATATAGGTGTTTAGCTAGTGGATCCACCTAAGCTAAGAGTATGGTTCTACCTTAGGCAAGTAGGAAAACCCCTTTTCGGTGTTGGGTAGACACCGGATTCCATGGTAAGCTCACATGGTCTATGTCGGTTAAGGTAAATCTCCCTATTATGATAGTATGAACAAGAATATGAAATATGAACTATAGTTACTCAAGAAGCTTACAAAGTGTGGGTAGGATTATGGGATCTTATTCATGCATTGTACAAGTATGCTTTAAGGGTATTTATGGTATGTTTCAATTATGCTATGATGATCTATATGTCGAATACGCTTATGAATTATGATTTAACCTATTCTTCATGATGGCTCTTCAACTTGACAAAGTGCATGATTTTCAACTAAAATATCCATTTTAGCATGTCTTCATGATTTTGTGCATGGCTAGCATACTTGGTGCATTCTTGTACTAACCCATATTTTCCTACATTTTCCACAAGTGTAGGGTCTGGTGTTTGAGGTGATCTTCATTTGATACAAGCTTGGATTCGACTATTCTCCTTGCTTGTGGTGAGTCCTCATGGTTCGAGGATGTAGTATATCTTTGTAGTTCCTTTTTTTCTTATATTTGACTTTCAGATTATGTTGTAAGGGCTGTGACCATATTTGATTCCAATATTGTAATAGATAGCTAATTGAGACAAGTCTAGACTTCATCTTTCCTTTATGAAAATTTTGGACTTGAAAATACACTTTACTCTTTATTGTTCTTTACTTATGTTATGATATGCTAAGTGGCTTACATGGTTCCTTTCGGGGTTCTATGTTCCTTGTTACGTCTAGGGGGTTCCCTTGGGTTGTGACAAACTTAGTAATCAGAGCAAAATGTTTAGAATGATTTTAGGATGATGTCTCATAAGCCAAGTCTAGTAGAGTCTTGTTCATGAGTGTGAAGCGCACCACATTTATGAATGAGAGGCTATAAGATGTTTAGGAAATTTCACTTCTTTCATTACTCTTAAGTCGTGCGATAGAGTTTAACTCTATAAGGTCTTCCTTCTAATCCTTCTCTTGTGTCTTCAGGAAATGAATACATGAAGGGCTAATGCTAGATGGGTGGAAGAGGAGAATGTGAATCAAGAAGCTCCTCCTCAAGATAATCAAGCTCTGGTTGACCCCGTGGTTGAGAATATGACCCATGCGGAGTTTAGGTCTACTATCAAATTGTTGACTCAAGCTGTGACAACTCCAGTCAATAGAGAGGTGATTGCTCCTATTAACACTAATGTGAATTTCACGGCTTCTAGATTGAGGGATTTTGCTAGAATGAACCCTCCCGAGTTTTATGGTTCCAAAGTGGGAGAGGATCTTCAAGAATTTTTGGAAGAGGTTTATAAAATAATTGATGCCATAGGGGTGACTTCTATAGAGAAAGCATAGCTAGCCTCTTATCAATTGAAGAGTGTTACTCAAGTATGGTATACTTAATGGAAGAACAATAGGCCTGTAGGAGTGGGTCCAATAGAGTGGGATGTGTTCAAATCATCGTTCCTTGATAGGTTATTTCCCTGAGAGTTGAGGGAAGCTAAGGTGGAAGAATTCATCAACCTTCATCAAGGAGGTATAAGTGTTCAAGAATATTCTCTAAAGCTTACTCAATTGTCCAAGTATGCTCTGACTTTAGTGGTGGATTCAAGGGATATGATGAGTAGCTATTTGGTGGGTGTGTTTAGATTGGAGAGAAAAAAATGTCGTTCGACAATGCTTCATGATAATATGGATATATCACGTCTCATGGTGTATGCCCAAAAAATGGAGGGAGAGAAACTCCAAGACAAGAATAGGGAGGTAAAAAGAGCTAGAATCGGTGATGGGAACTTCTCCAATGCTAGGTCCGATGGACAAGGTCTACCAAGGTTCAAACAAAGGTTCTCTAACCAAGGCTCCTCTAGTGCTCCAAGGGTCAACAAGGATAGGGTGTGTAACCCTAATCCTCTAGGAGAAAATAATGGTTGTTCTTATGTTGCTAGGCCTAATTGTGCAAAGTGTGGTAGAAAACATGATGGAAAGTGCTTAGTTAGCTCGGATGGGTGCTATGGTTACGGGAAGAGTGGCCACAAGATGAGAGATTGTCCAATGCTCAAGGTTAAGGGGAGAGAAGAAAAGCAAGCTCCTCCAAGTGGTTCAAACTCCAATGCCCTAAAGAAAAACCACTTTTATGCTCTTCAATCCCGAGGTGACTAAGAGAGCTCCTCGGATGTGGTGACCAATATGTTAAAAGTCTTTTCTATTGATGTATATGCTTTGTTAGATCCCGGTGCTACTTTGTACTTTCTGACACCTTTAGTGGCCATGAAGTTTGAAATACTCCCCGAAGTGTTAGTAGAGCTTTTTTGGTTTCTACCACGGTTGATGACTCGATTGTGGCTAAGAGGGCTTATAGAAGTTGTCCCATAGAGTTACTTTGGTAGATTTGGTAGAGTTAGACATGTTAGACTTTGATGTTATTTTGGGTATGAATTGGTTGCATGATTCTTATGCCTCTATAGATTGTAGGACTCAGGTGGTTAAATTCCAATTTCCAAATGAGCCTATTTTAGAGTGGAAGGGGGGAAATTCTGTCCCTATAGGTCAATTTTTTTCTTGTCTTAAAGCTAGGAAAATGATCTCCAAAGGATGCATTTACCATCTTATTAGGGTGATGGATGTTGAATCTGAAACCCCTTCTCTAGAGTCGATTTTGGTAGTGAATGAGTTTATGGAAGCTTTTCCCGATGATTTACCCGGTATTCCTCCCAAGCGGGAAATAGATTTTGGTATTGATCTTTTACCGGATATGCAACCCATCTCCATTCCTACTTATAGAATGGCTCCGGCCGAGTTGAAAGAACAATTGAAGAATTTATTAGATAAGGGCTTCATCCGACCGAGTATCTCTCCATGGGGTGCTCCGGTGTTGTTTGTTAGAAATAAGGATGGGTCTCTTAGAATGTGCATTGATTATCGTCAATTGAATAAAGTGACCATCAAGAATAAATATCCCCTTCCAAGAATTGATGACTTGTTTGACCAACTTCAAGGGACTAGCTATTTCTCTAAGATTGATCTTCGTTCAGGTTGTCACCAATTAAGGGTGAGAGGGGTTGATATTCCCAAGATGACTTTCCGAACAAGGTATGGTCACTATAAGTTCCTATTAATGTCCTTTGGTTTGACTAAGGCTTCGGCGGCGTTCATGGACTTAATGAATAGAGTGTTTAGGCAATACCTAGACACGTTTCTGACCGTGTTTATTGATTATATATTGATCTACTTAAGGAGTGAGAATGACCATGGGGACCATTTGAGAATTGTATTGTAAGTTCTTAAGGAACAACAACTTTTTGCAAAGTTTAGCAAGTGTGAATTTTGGTTAAGGTCTGTAGCTTTCCTGGTCATATTGTGTCAACCAAGGGTATTGAGGTAGATCTTAAGAAGACGGATGCGGTCAAGGGTTGGCCTAGACCTCTAATTCCTTCTGACATTAGAAGCTTTTTGGGTTTAGCCGTTTACTAAAGGAGGTTTGTTGAAGGGTTTTCCTCCATTGCTTCTCCGTTGACGGCTTTGACTCCAAAGAAAGATAAGTTTTAGTGGTCGGAGGCTTTTGAGAAAATCTTCCTAGAGTTGAAGATAGACTTACTTCCGCTCCGGTGTTGACCTTACCGGAGGGTACGAATTGTTTTGTTGTATATTGTGACACCTCTAGAGTTGGTTTGGGATGTGTCCTCATGCAAAACGGGAAAGTGATTGTCTATGCTTCAAGGAAACTTAAGGTCCATGAGAAGAATTATCCTACCCATAATCTCAAATTAGCGGCGGTAGTATTTACCTTGAAAATATGGAGACATTATTTATACGGGGTCCATGTGTATGTTTTCACCGATCACGAGAGTCTTCAATATGTATTTAGTCAAAAGGACTTGAATCTCCGACAAAGAAGGTGGTTAGAGCTCTTGAAGGACTATGCCATGAGTGTCCTTCAACACCCCGGTAAAGCTAATGTGGTAACAGATGCACTTAGTAGATTGTCCATGGGTAGTGTGGCTCATGTAGAGGATGAAAAGAAAGAATTGGTTCGCAAGGTGCATAGATTGGCCCGACTAGGTGTCCAACTAGTGGATTCCACCAAGGGTGGTGTCATGGTCCATAATGGGTCCGAATCGTCCTTTGTGATGGATATGAATTCTAAACAAGACATTAATCCAATAATAGTTGAATTGAAAGAATCGGTACTCAAGAAGTCTGTTGAGGTTTTCTCCCAAGGGGGAGATGGGGTACTTATGTACCAATGTCGATTATGTGTTCAGGATGTTGATGGTTTGAGGGAGAAAATTTTAGAAGAAGCTCATGGTTCTCGATATTCTATTCACCCGGGAGCCACCAAGACGTACCGTGACCTACAGGAAGTCTATTGGTGGAACAAAATGAAAAAGGATATTGCGGGATTTGTATCCAAATGTCTGAATTGTCAACAAGTTAAGGTTGAACATCAAAGGCCGGGAGGCCCATTACAAGATATACCAATTCCCACTTGGAAGTGGGAAGAGGTGAATATGGATTTTATTGTGGGTTTGCCTCGTACCTGAAGGCAACATGATTCTATTTGGGTCATTATAGATAGGATGACAAAATTAGCCCACTTCATTCCCATCAAGGTTTCCCATTTGGCGGAAGACTATGCCAAGTTTTATATAAATGACATAGTGAAGTTACATGGGGTTCCTTTATCTATTATTTTGGATCGGGTACTCAATTTACTTTACACTTTTGGAAGTCATTCCAAAAAGTGCTTGGTACTAAGGTTAAGCTTAGCACGACTTTTCATCCCCAAACCAATGGGCAAGTGGAGCGTACCATCCAAACATTAGAAAATATGTTGAGGGCATGTGTTATAGACTTCAAGGGTAATTGGGACGACCAATTGCCATTAATAGAGTTTGCCTACAATAATAGTTACCACTAAAGTATTGGTATGGCTCCTTTTGAAGCCTTGTATGGTAGGAGATGTAGGTCTCCAATTGGTTGGTTTGAGGTAGGTGAAATTACTCTTATTGGTCCCGAATCGGTTTATGAAGCTATTGAGAAATTTTGGCTCATTAGAGAGAGGTTGAGAACGGCTCAAAGTAGACAAAAATCTTATGCCGATGTGAGAAGAAGGGATCTAGAATTTGAAGTGAATGATTGGCCTATTTGAAAATCTCACCCATGAAGGGTGTGATGAGGTTTGGCAAGAAAGGTAAACTTAGTCCCCGGTATGTAGGCCCATATCAAATTTTGCAACGTATTGGGAAGATTGCCTATGAGTTGGTGTTGTTCGACGTAATCAACTGAAGCTATTTTGGTTCCAGTGCCAAACGATAGCGTGTAGTGATATAACCTAACCAAGGGTTGGGATCGTTCCCACAGGGAGTGGTTTTGAGAATTAGTAGAAAAATAAAATCAAGTTCTAATTAGTCATAGCTATAAATATTAACGAATAAAAACATACTAAATCTAAGGAGTGACACAAGCGTCAATTATCAATGGGGGGTTTGTATTAACTAATCAACAAAAACGACAAAAATATAAGGAAACGCGATAGGGAGACGAGATTCTTGGGATGTGATAGGAATACGGGTTAAACTAGACTATCGGGTACATGATTTTGATAGTAAATTATTGAGCATTTGTGACTAGGCGAGACTATAGTGGGGTAAATTCTCTCTCGAGCAACTTATCCTGAATCAACTCGGTTTCTCTTGAACACCGAGTTGCCGCATTAAGCACAACCTCTGCCTTAGCCTATTCACTCTCTAGAGCTGAATGTGTGGGAGAAGGACTAGGATTCACTCTCTAGAGCTGAATGTGTGGGAGAAGGACTATGATTCATTCTCTTGAGCTGAACCCATGTCGACCCAATACCACCGGCTATCAAAAATAGTAAGATGAAATCGTATTTGCAACTACAATCCCATTAAGTTCATACAAAACTACTAAACAAAATCACATTTAAACAACAAATAAACCATCAACAAGCAAGACCCAACAAATAATTTAACCCATATTCACAAAATCACATCCCAAGAAATGGGGTTTTAGCTAAACATGTAAAAGAGATAAAAATTTATACCAATATCAGTTTTCATCTACTGGGTATGAAGATATAAGTCTTAAAACACGTCAAGAGTGAGGAATCTTCGAGACCCACGTCCAATTTCTTGGAGTTGAAACCCTTTGAATCTTCAAGGACTTAGAACAAAGTCTTCAAAACCCTCTAAAACTTAAAACTCTCCAAAATCTATAAAAGTTCGAATAATAGAAGTGTTATTTTTTATACTTGAAATTTAAACAAGTATTTATAGTGTTTGAAAATTTGTGCTGCGTAGGACCAATCGACTCAGTTAGTTGGGATCGCCGATACGTTCGGCGATCCGCCTTTTGGTTGATTTCATCGCCTTCTTGCTTTAGCCTTCAGCCTCTTTGCATTTTGAGTCGTTGGGCAATATGGTACTGCTTCACGGAACTGATCGGCGACGTGCCGACTGCTCCATTTCATCGCCAACTTGACCTTTTCTTTCAAGGCTCAGCACACTAGAACAAAAGGCGATCTCCAGGCCCATCGGTGACTCGCCAACTGGGCTCGGTGATCTTCAGGCCATCATTTCTTCGTTCTTTTCATCCGCCTTGTTCCTTCTTGCCAAGTAGTGTCCATACTTTTTCTCAAACTCTAAATACCTGAATGGTAGTCCTTCATACATGTAGTCCCTCCAAACTCAATTTCAAAACTTGTAATTTCCCCAAAAGCTACGGTTTTACTCCAAGTCATCGATTCACTTAAAAAATGATTCTAATGATTTAATTGATTTATATTATGATCAAATTGATGATTTGTTACTGTTTTTATGAAGAATTCCCCAAGAATCCATGAATTCCCCTATTTACCCAAATTGGATCGAAAAGTGGGGGTATGGATTGATGTAAGTAGAATATGATAGAATTATGCATGTAGTAATAGAACTACTAGAATTATGTTATCATCCATGTCTAATGTAGTAATCCTAGATGTGTTGATAGAATGTGATCTATGGTCCTTGAAGGGTAAAGTTTATGAATTATGCATGATTATGAGGTTTATGCACATGCTTTATGAACACTTAGAAAGTAAAGTGAATATGATTATGATCTAGTTGTTGTATTGTTGGAAGTTATCCTCATGTGCATACTTA